AAAATTACTCAACCCTGCACTGTTTTATACGCAAAAGAAATAAGCTATACACATGCAGTGTGGCATCCGCACATATTACCGGTGACTTTTCCATCACTCTTCCAATATGGCAGTGCGTACCACTGACCCTCATCCACAGGGGTGACTGATCGGGGCAATTTCCAACCTGTGCACCCAGTCCCTTCTGCTCCTCTGACATGGACACAGGGGCAGCAACACTGGGGGATCCAAGTGCCAGACAATTATTAAAGCAACAAGGAGCTATTCAGTGGGGAAACGTAGAATGCTGGGTGGAAGTTCCCTCTGGGCTGAATTTGGCCCATGAAATATAGTCTGGATCATGCCAGAATGAAAGGGTAAATTTCCTAAGGACAGAAAGGGATAAAATAGGCTTTCACGGTATGAATAGCTAAGTAGCTCCTGAGACATACGAAATCTTGGTAGCCAAAGACTGAAAAATTGTAGTAACTACAGTGTGAGCACCGTACAAGAAGAAAGTGCCTGTCAAATTCATGTTCTGATGCCAGAAATTCTGAAAATCATTAAAATCCAGAAATAAAATCTGAAAAAGCAAAAATATGGTCATTGCTAAGTTATGGGAACAGCCCTGACTGTAGGAATGTTGCTAATAAAAGTCTCAGAGCAAAAGCAAGAATTGCAAAAATTACTCTTACCTTGGTCACTTTGTGTGGTACAAAGGAAGCATCTTTTAATAATCAAGTGGGACACAAAGCCAAATGTGTGCATATAATCTTCAAAAGAATGATTAAATCGATTTTCAAATAAATGTTTGTCAAGGATCTATGTTTATAAAACACACACACAAAAAAAGTACAAGTTCAGATGAAAACAAGTGATTCTCTCTTTCTTACTACGACCTGTCATAAATCAGGTTTTGAACAAGGACAGTTATTCTGCTGTTGGAAATCCCGAATTTACTCCTAGGTATGAAAGTATAAAAGCTGCCAACTCCGGAATTTAATACACCACTGAAAACAAGGACTGTCTCACATGTTGAGCCTTCTGTGCTTTCACGCACGGGAACAAACTCTAGGCAGAAAATCCTGTCCTTGACCTGTGACTCTCCGGTATCAGACAGTGACCAAGATACGGGCAAAAAGCCGTCCTCTGGAGCCCCAAGAGGACACTCAGTTTCCCTGTGGAATCCGACATCTCTGTCAACATGCATGCATCTCCCCCACGGCCATAAAAGTGAGGCAGTAAACAAAAACAGCTGAAGGAAACACGTCTGCTTGGCAGAGATGAGGACAAGTTTCACTGGCCAGCGTTACCTTCAGGTTATGCAATGCCGTGCCGGGCATAATGCTCCTTATTCTAGGAGAGCCAACGTATTGCACAAGGTGGCCCTGTTCTACCCAGACATCACCCCCTCCCCCAGCACGCCAGACACCATACCATCCCTTAAAAACACTTTGGAGGAGAAAATAATTTCCCCTTTGAGTTAAGAAGAGCAACAGGTAAAAATACTTTGAGAGAGAGAACTTGGCACGTTGCAGAGATGCAATTTCTTGCAAATCTACAGAGAAGGCCAAGCTGAAGGTGATCTGAAGACAGCGATGAAGTTGACCTACATGAGTGTCAGGAGCCGGATTGCTGCTGCTGCAGCTACACAGATCCACAGCCCAAACATCAGTGGCCAGATGGCCACAAGTCCATTTCTCCAGAAAGCAGCCCTAACGCAACAGGCGTGGGAAGAGACTCCTTCCTCCAGTCCTTGCACAGATCTGATGCCTAAAAATCTGTCTTGAAAGGAAAACCTTGTCCTATCTTCTACTCTTTTCATCCCTGAATTTTCAACAGTCCATTTAACAAAACACATCAGTTTCTAATCTCACACATTTATTTACATGCCTCTTGTTCCTGCTCTTACCTCTTCACAACACCTGGCCACCGTGGGAAGTACTCTTCTTTCCCAAAGTTCCTTTAAATTTAACCTTCTCCCACAGAATGTGACAGATAAGTGTATTTATGCTTTTTCTGAATAACTCTGTATTATTTGCTATGCCACTCTCCTTTACTGGATGGAAACATCTATTCACATCAAGTTTAGCCATCAGCTCATAGCAAAATAGAGAGGATGGAAGTATATTTGAGCCCCATCTCTCAACTTTGCATCAGCTAATGAGCTGGCATGCAGACAAGGGCATAAATTAGTATCATTTCCACTAACTTCACTTGTCTATGAAAACGGCATCCAGCTGAAAACCTGTCCCACGCAGTTAATAAATGGACAAGCCTACTATAGGCAAAACAAATCAGTCCTCTAGCTGGAGAAAAATTTCAGAGCAGATGACCTCGGACAGGAAAAAGCACAAGAAGAGCATCCTCTGAACCAAAAAATAATAAACTTCTACACAAATTCTCTTGTCATATGAACAAAGCAATAGTGATACTAAACAATCAACAGAAATAGCACGAAAATTAAGTACATTAGTAAACAAATGGACTGGAAAATGAAACACAGGGAAGATTAGGGGGAAAAAAAAAAGTCTTTTGTTCTTATAATTAAAACATCCTGCCTCCTTCCCTGAACACTTCCTCTCATCTAACTGGCAACTGCCTACCAAAATTCGTCCTTGGAAGTGCTGGCAGATGCAGGGTGTGGACCGGATTCAGAGGCACAGGTTTTATCACCACATCTTCCAATTCCACTCAGATGACACAACGTTGAAAGCTGTCCACCACAGTTATGCCATTGCTGTCATCAATAAGGCTAGAGGCTGAACGATGGTTTCAGTTTTGGCAGTGTGGACCAACCTCAGGAATTGGGGCCGAGTTTGAATTGGAAATGGAGAAACGTATTTCTTGTACATACCTCCCACATATGTTACAAATGTGCATCTAACAAAGTCTTGGGATGAGATCCTTGTGCTAACGGCGAAATTCTCATCGACTTCACTAAGTTTGCAGCCCTGAGTTACAAAAGTAAGCAAAACGTAAGGCAAAAGCCTTTTTTCTTGTTACCCCAAACTCTTCAGCTTTTCAGTATGCTCTCAACTGTAACATATGCAGCCATCATATTCAAAACCCTTCTTTTTCTGGCATATCAAGGAAAATACAGTTCAGCTGCATATGGAAGACAAACAGCGGGACTGAAAAATTCAGTGTGTTCCCTGGCCTTACAGCTCTCTCCCAATTCCGGGATGCAGTAGTAGCTCCTAAACCCTGCTCCTGGGAACATGCCACAGCTGCTCCCCAGCTGCGGGGACAATACCGGAGCGTGTCCCCTCATCCTGCAAAGAAGGGAGCCCCGGCACATACCCACCCCTCAGCCTGGAGACAGCTACAGCCACCACAGGGAACTGATGGATACACATCGTTTGGAAGAGACTGTACCCTCAACCATCCTACCGCGTCACGCATTGCAACTGCAGCGAACCAGACTGGGATGGGAAGAGACAGAGAGCCTACAGACAGGAAAGGTTCTAGAGAGTTAGAATGCGTATATTAACTGCTGTGAATGGACAAATTTCTGGAGGCACGTCAGTAAATGCTCTCTTGAACACCTAAAACTGTTTTCCATTACTGGCCCTTTTACATTAAGGAGACCTGGATCCTCAATTTACAGGATTACAGAATACAATCAAAGGACTAATGTATCAACCGGTAAAGCGTCCTTTGGATGCTTTTATCACTCTGATTTCCCTGGAAGCAATGTACAGTCAGGTTTTTTCTCATCTCACAGCAGTGCAAGATCAGCTCTAAATTAGAAGATTATGGTTTACCCTTCAGAGTAGATACTTTTTCAGAAAAAAGGTCTTTGGTCCTGTGAGAATAGGTAGGTGTGATGCTGCCAGTTGTGCCATGTGAATTGCATCAGGCCTCAAGCTGAATGGCAGCCCAAATTAAGATCATGAATATAAAGATTTCTTTCATCGTGTTTGTTTAGCTGTGCAGTCACGTCACCATCAACTGTCTGCATGCTGTCTGCGAGCACACAACACATTATGAACTTGAATCTCTCTCTCTATTCATCTCCTCTTTAAGTCTCTACCAAAAAAAAGAAAAAAAGAGTAAAAAAATCCCTGAATAAAAATGACAGTGATTTATCTCGTGAAAACTCTGGTCCTCTGGTCTGAGTTACAGAAAGGTAGGCATATTATATCTTCAGTGCAATCTTTGATTTGCTTTAAGATTTAATACAATGCCCAACAGTACACAACCAGCCATAAGTTTCAAGACAAACACATGTTATTCCAACGAGTTCAAACAGAGAAGGAAGAGACGATAAGAGGGAGGAAGTATTCTCCTAAATTTAAAAGGTTCAGATGGATAAAAGGCTTAAGCCAATATCCACTAGTATTAACTGCAATATGGTGCCAGTGGCAACCATTTAGCAACGTTTTTAGAAAAACAAAACTTCCTGATGAGAATCTCTTTTTTTTTTTTTAAGAGCATCCAGTCAACAATATCTATAACTGATATGAAAGTAATGACCCCATTGATAGTAATGACCCCACTGAGTGTCTGACAGCGGTTTCTAAGCACACCAACCAGCACTCCAGCACGTTATCAATTTGGGATCCCTCGACATGGTTGCCTACATTTTCTCTCCAGCTTTAAACGGGTGTTGTGGATCCTGCTCTTTCAAACTAAGAAGCCAGTTCATTTTTTGCAGTTTGGGTTGGTGCTGTTTCCGTAGCGTATGAAAAGGCTCCGGAGTACTTAGCACAAACAAGGGTTTTGAGAACACTACACAAACAGAATATGGCATCTCAAAGCCACTGAGATGCATTGATTTAATTCATACTCAGTTATCTCCTTTTTTCTCCCCCCCCAACTCTGACAAAGATGCTGGTGTCCAAGTCCGTTATCAAAAGCATAAAACACAAGTCAGCAAAAGCAAAAGCATTGCTAAGCCAACAGTTCCCAGCTTCCTCTGATAGAGTCCACTTGCTTGTCAGTCCTGCAGCTCCACGGCTGAAGACTTCCAACTGCCTCCCCTGAGCGATGTTTTCATCTCTTCCCACCCAGCCCACCTGTAACAACAAAGGCAATCAGCTTCACTGCCTCCCTGAACTGCACAGCCTGGCTGACCTCCAAGAAGGCCAAGAACTTGGAAAAGGAAATAGCTGCTGCCTCTCGTACAGTCTGGGGGAGACAAGATGCTCCTCCATGCAGGCCTCGTGGACCATGGGTCCCTCCTTGTACAGTGCTCTTCTCCATGGAACCGACTGCCTTGACAAGGAGCATCACTGAGGAACTCAGTAGACAGACGTGTAGATCGGCTTATTATGGGAATGCAAAAGTTGAGGCTTGTACAGCCAACCCTCCACACCCGAAAGGCACACAACTCTCACTAGAACAACAATAGCTTCAGGCTATTGCCTAGCATCTGACTGCCAGCCTGCATCCATCATGGCAGCTTTCCAGTGCCATCTTCTCCAAACTCAGACTTGTTACCAGCAGCAAGCACCTGAAAGAACTTGGCACCTATGGGATGAAACTAAATGCAGGAGGTCTGAGTACCTACCCTTTGCTCTTGTTCTCAAAAGTGACTTACACACACAGCAGCTTATGCAGCATTTTAGATCCCAAGAAGTTGCATTCGGTCTACAGAAACTGCTGAAAACTCAATTCCATGTTTCCCTGCAAATTAAGGGTCTCAGAAGTCTGCACACTCTACACAATCTTAAAAAATGGGGCTTGGGTTCCCAAGTAACTGGCCAATTCTGAAAATTTTACCCATGACCATCGTTCGTTCCCTTAAACATTAAGCTGCAGAAACCACTCCCAAAACCAAGTCTGGGAAACAAATTTGCAGTCGCTCAGGGTAGCTCAATACTTAGCCTGTTGAGTCACCATAATGACCACAGAACGGATGGATTATATGATTTTAATAGGTCAGACACCGCTGTTTTTTCCTTTACGATCACACATCCTAAAACAACTAAGAAGTAGTTGAGATAAGTCAGACATGCGTGCCCACACTTTGTTTACTTTGAAAAGTCATCACCTCTTCTCCAGATGAATGCTGTTATATTTGCACCTGACCATACGCTGCTCCTCTTCAGTCAAGGACAGGGATTGACACATGCACGCAAACAGCCTGCCAGAGTAACGGACGTATTTCTCTAAACACAGCTTTGTTGCTCCTCTATCGTACTAGCAGTTTTTGTTGCCAAGTGAAGGAATTCATCCCGCCCGTAAACTGTTCCTGTCTTTTGCAAACACAGTTGAAACTAAAGAAATTACCAACACGCAGTTCTGTTTTTAAACAAACGCTGATATGGTATCTCCACGTTGTTTTTCTGCTCTGCAGTTATGGTTGTTAAGACAAATAGCCCTAGCCATCTTGAACACACAGGCATCCCAACGTGCCGCACAGTGTACAATAGCCCATGGAGGTTACCGTTAAAATACACTCATAGAAGAGAGAAATGAATTTTCTTCCTCCTACTGACCTTCCTTGACCACATGCAATTTTTTTTCTCCCCATCATCACACTTCTCATAGGACAAACTGCTAGTGGGACTCCCCTGAAAATCACTCTGTGAAAAATAGTGTGGAAGAGAAGGGTGAAACCGTAAGAATACGGCATTTGATAAGTAACACCCCAGCCCTCAAACCCCACCTGTGTGATTCCTGCTCTGCTCCCCACTTCATGCTTTCCTTCCTTCATAACTGAGCACTAATACCTGCTGAGTGGCTTCAGCAATGCCAGCCAGCACACTTCTTGCTCAGTTTCTCCAAGGAAACGAAAGGTGATGCAGGACACGTGAAGTTCTGGCCACAATGCAGTCAGTAGGATTTTGGGCTGAGACCTTTGTAGTGCCAGGATTTCTCACTGGTTTGCAGCAAGGTCATATTCAAATCTGAACCACTAGATGTTATTTTAAAATGAAACACTTTTGCCCCAACAGCAAAACCGTGCTGATGACTGTTACCTAGTTTCTGAAGTGCCCTGAGATGGTGGACAACAGAGGACTGCAGAAGAGCGAGGAAGGATTAATATACAGAGACCACAAATGGAAGTAACTCCACCTCACAGGCAATAAAGGATTAAAAAAACACGTCCCGTGTTTAACAGGGAACGTGACACAGCTCTGCCTCCAGAGCTCTAGGGAACCGTTTGAAGTGCTCTAGTTCCACATCATATAATAACCCCACTGGCACGAGCTCTTCCAAATGGGAAATGGCACAATCTACTCAGTAAAAACCTCTGTTTGTTTTCTTTTCTCCTGGTATCAGTTGAGCGCTACAGGAAACCAAAAGAGAAGACTGTCCCTGCTCTCCTTGTCTATCCCCAAAATTTCCATCCTGAAGGGGAGAGAAGCAGCAGGGCAAGGCACGCTGGAGAAAACGTAAGATGCAGGGTGTAGCTAAGGCTGGGGCTCGAAAAGAAGTGAAAAAGAAAGTTGAGTAATGAATGCAACGGGAACAGGTTCTCCTCTAAAAAGCTCAGCCGAGGGTCACCACTGGTAGTTTCCACACCCCCAGGCGGAGCACAGGCAGTCAGCAGGATGGCCCAGAGAAACGCACACCCAACAAACTGGCCGAAACACCCACCAGTGACCGCTTTAACAACCTGTCTGCGCCCGGCTGCACAGCGAGCGAGGCACGGGCTCTGGTGGCAGGCGACAATGCGGCAGCAGGACGATGGGGAGCGGGCAGCCTTCACCAACCCAGTCACCGCACCTCCGGTGATCTTGCGACAACTGGTGAGCAAAGAAGTGATGCTAACGAAGCAGTGATGGGATATTTACCTTACGGTTATTTTCCAGGAGCTTACTTAAGACACTGGGTTGATGTAGTTATCAAAATGCTGTGTAGCAAATTACATCAATTTGAAACATACATCCACAATAAAAGCTTTCAGTTTCAGGTTTTCCTGTGGTTATGAGCCTGCAAGCCATTCCACACAGGCAGATCTTTGCGTCCCTGACTAACCTCAGTCAACTAACTTAACCAGGGCTGTGTCTGATTAAGGTCCACATTCTCAAGCTCCAGAAAATGATTTGTATAAAAACTTGGTTGTCAGCCAGCCCTGATTGCTGCGTGTAAGTTACATCTGATAGGAGCAAAAACGTGTCCGTTCGTGAGAATTTAGACTGCAATTTCCTTAGACACCAGGACAGCACTGTTTTTCTTGTTGCTTTTGTAGTCACTGCCTCGGCATAATTACCCGTTTCTTGCCGACGCCAAAGCGGAGTGGGGGAGAGGTTATTTTTCAAAAGGCAGAATAAATCCCCTCGCCTCTAACTTGTGAAGGCTTCAGTCGATGACTCACTGTGTCCACAGTGACATGAAGTTGTGATCACAACTCCAAGCCTGATCCAACACACACTGAAATCAATGGGAGTCTTTCCGTTGACTTCAATGGAAGCTGGGTCACGCCCTCGGCAGACACTAGCCGCGCACGCAACAAAACCACCCTCCAGTTTTGGATGGCAGAAAAGATGGTCAGCCTGGAAACAACAGGGATCCCTGAGGTCAGAGATCATCTACAACACGAAACTAATGCAGGAAAAACCAACAGAGAGATGCTTCAGGTGCACCTGTCTGCACTCTGCCTCTTCTAGCACTGTCAGCCCAGAGGAAGCTGTGTCCAGAGCAAATATTTATCAGAAATGTAAAACGAGCAGATCCTGGCAAAAGCCAAAATCTGGCCCACAGCACAAAGTGTAGACTAATTAGTCAATCGTAAAATAAAGTTTTCAAATAAAATAAACATAAGTTTCAAGTAATGAGCTCAGCACAACTTAGAAGCTAGAAAAGGCTTGCATCAGACTTTGTAGAGCACTTTCATGCTTGTCAAACATGAAGGTCAACGTAGGACTTCTAAAAGAAGAAGAGTATGAGCACAGCCAGTGTCAGACTCCACATCGTACATTAGCGGGCCACCACCAACCGTATGTTGCCTTTAACATTCCTCATATGGCTCCTACATGAAAACAGTAATAAAGAAAAAAGCTCAGAAGGAAGGAAAGCTAAACTTGAAAATGAAAGTCATAAAATAGTTTTAAGAGTGTTTTGGGACCATCGGAGGAAGGACTGAGGAAGAGCACACGCTTTGGAAAGATTAAAACAATGACTATGCAATGTTGGTAAGAAATTGATCATTGGCGGGAAAAAAAGCCAGGAGCAAACAGCAATATTGATATCTCAATAGCAGAGACCATTTAGCTTGGATGATACAACATTTGCAGGCTGGTCTTCACCTTGGCTTATACATCCCCAGGGCTGACTCACCGCTATTTGAACAATTTTTAGGCGGGAGAGGCAGAGGTATGGGCAGACCGGCTGCCCTCACACTGTCACGTATGTCTCAACATGGTGTCCGAGAGTCACCAAAGCTCGGTACCCAGACACATCTCGCTCTGTAAGGCCTCTCTGGGCTGATCGTTTCTTCCACCCAGCGTGTCAGGGCCCGAGCTTGGCAGGTTGAGGAGAGAAAAAGAGACCCTTCTTCAGCCAGCTTTTTTCTACTCTTGTTTTTCAGCAAGTCAAGAAGTGCGCACTGACACAGGGATTTTGTCGGGTTAGTTCCTGCCTCAGCAGACACACGCTGCGTAAATCAGGCACAGGGAGCGTCTCCGGGGCCAGGCAGCCCGTGCGCTGTGAGTGAGTACACTGCGCCATGGGTAACGAGACGCACCCCAACACCCCACCCCGACTCGGCACCTGCAGGAACCGAGAGCGACCAGGGAACCTGCAGAACGTGACTCAACTTGTTAACAAATTATTGGGCTAGAACCATCACCCCCACCCCCCACCCCCCAGGCCATTATTCCTGCGCCTGAGCGTAATCTGCGTAACCTCATCATTGGAGCCATTCCACCTCCAGGTTGGATGAAGCTCTGAGCAACCTGGTCTGGTGGAAGGTGTCCCTGCCCACAGCGGGGAGTTGGAACCAGATGATCTGTAAGGTCATTATTGTAGATGGATCCTTATAAAGGATCTCCCTTCCAACCCAAACCGTTGTATGTCTCTATGCCTGTGGGCTGTATTTTCGGACCCGGTTCCCATTTCATTAAAAAAAAAAAAAATAGTCGGGAGAAAGGAATCACCTCCAAGGGTAAAAAGCTGACGCTATTGATCA